AAATTATAAAGGTCTTAGTAAATATAAGATGTCATTAGTTAAAAATAAATATAAAGTTTAATAAAATTTAAAACAGACATTTCGACCTCTTCTGATTTTAAATTGTTTATTGTCAACATCTTGAAATGGGTCTCTCTTTGCATTGTTCTAATTATATATTAATCATAATTGCATTTTTATACAATTTTACAAGAAATGTGGAGCTTTTCAAAATTTACATTATTTAATGATTGCTTTTTGTCGGACTCTTGCCAATTTGCGCCGAGATGATTAAGTCTTCAATAGCGAGTGAGATTAAATACCCACATCACAAAATTTATATACATATTTTTTGTATTTTATAATATTTTTACACATGTATTCGTTTTTTAATATCGTATTCTGTACATCGTTAACGATTCTTGCGATTTTTTAACATTGATAATGACCTAATAAAGGTCGAAACGTCTGTTTTAAATTTTATTAAACTTTATATTTATTTATAACTAATGACATGTTATATTTACTAAGACCTTTATAATTTAACGAATGTTGGCTCGTAGCCCTGTTGTTTTAATTATTTTTTATTATTATTGCTTTTAAATATGGAGCGCTCAATTTATTTTATATTATCAAAATAATTTAGTATACCATTGGTTTTTTTGTTTATGTGCCGTTTATTTTCTTCTAATAAATATTTCGATAAATAACATTACACTTCAGTATATAATATTTTCAATATAAAATATTTTATTCAATATATATATAATATTTATTGTTAATTTTAATTTATAATATTTTCATTATATATGTATGTACATGCAACGATGACAGAAGTGCAATTAAATGCAAATCAATTCACATATTTTCAGTGTTAATAAATAATTTTATTCTTTTAACATTATAAGGTTATCGTGATAACAAATAATATCTAACTAAAATGGTTATTTATTAATACTTAAAACATGTAAATTGATTGGCATTCAATTGTACTTAGTGTGTATCAGTGTTGCACTAGTTTTCCCAGTAAAAATCGCTTATTAAGCCCGAGACACAGCGAGGGAATAGCGATAGCGATAAGTTTCAACCTATCAAAAATGTGTATTCCGATGTATTCGATTTCTGATAGGTTGAAACTTATCGCTATCGCTATTCCCTCGCATTGTGTCTTGAGCTTTAGAGTCTACAAAAGGGTTCGTTCCACTTAACGTTCGCAACGATCGCGTGTATCATCTCATCCTTACTTAATATTCGATTACAAGAAGGACAAAATGATCCCCGCGAGCGTTGCGAACGTTAAGTGAACGTATGTACACAAAGCAAAATACGTAATTTTTTCTCAGTTGGCAGTCCTGCGGAACAAGAAGCAGAGAAATGACAGAGAGCGCAAATTTTAGAGAGAGACGCTTGCAATCTGGTAATACTTCCACCATGCTTAAAACTCTATCTATCTCGTTTTAAAACCGAAAGGGAGATAGAAACAGAGACAGTTTAATAGCGTTTTCCACTGGGAAAACTGGTTTCTCAGTGGAAAACGCTATAAGTTTCGCTTAAAATCGAAATCACGTTGGTGCATTCAGGCCTAAGAGAATCAACAAATCATAATCCTTCTTTTTTTTCCACTTCAAGAAAGAGCAGCATTTTGATTGGATGCTCCCCGCATCAAGCGGGGAGCACGGATTATTACATAACGTATAATGGCATAGTGCATAAAAGAATCAACCAATCTGAAGCCCTCCTTTCCTTCTATTTCACCGAAAAGAAGAACTTTTATTGGCTGATTCTCTTATGCACTATGCGTTACGCTAAAGCTTGTGGCTGGGCTTAAAGCCAATTCTACAATGATCGTAATGGCCGCAGCACACACTTTTGCATGACGCATAATACATGACGCATAAGAGAATCAACCAATCAAAATACTTCTCTTCCGTGAAGTGGGAGGAAAAGAAGGATTATGATTTGTTAATTCTCTTATCCGTCATGCATTATGCATCACGCAAATGTATATGCTGCGGCTTAAGCCGTAAAAATTGACTAATCGTAATTGAATATGAGGAGAATAATCGATTACGATTGGTCAATTTTTGTGACTTACGGTCATTGTAGAATAAAAGGGGCTTCACAAGAATAAAAAAATTTATTATCTAAATAAATATAAGATGGCTTCAAAATTTCATCTAGATGTGATCATCTAAATAATTTTATCCAGATAAAATCAAATACTGCTCTCTTGTTAAATGACAATAAATCATGATAAAAACGGTGATCATTTGTAAATACATATTTCAAGTTGTATTATTTTCATCGGAGGTGACACGAGTTTATAAGTCGAAGATAATCGAGTTGATGTCACTCTTTGATGACACGGATGTTGACATTTCGTTGATATACGGCATAATCACGTTTGATTGCTTTTGATCACGTTGCCAGAACTTATATTGACTTACATATATGTGCCCTCGGTATTTGCGATAAAAATAGCCAATACTTAGTGTAAGACGTTATATAATGATAAAAAATGTTTTTATGATAAACGATGTTATAAACAAGTATAGGTTAAAACAATATATATACCTTAAAAATATATAATTTATTAATATTAATCATCTTTTATATAAAAAATTATTTTAACGTTTTTTTTACTACGAATGACCTAATCATAGTTATCTTTGAAAATGGAAGGAAACCATAATTATCATTTTTCTTTTAATTAGACTTTGCTAATAAAATTCATAATTATTTATAATATTATTAATTTTGGTAAACTAACTTTATCAGTATTTATAAATGTATATATTTTCTTACAAGAATATAAAATTTTCAAGAAATCACATATCATTTTATTCTCTGTAATATTTTTATATTTTAAATTTTATTTAAAAAGTTAAATTCTTTATTAAACACATACAAGTTTTATATATGAACATAATATATGTACAAGTAGATTATATACTGATTAATGAAATAGATTCAAAAAATTGTAGTAAGGATTTTAATAAAAGGATAATAAAGTGTTGTGTGTGTGTGTGCGCGCGCGCATATGTGGAAAAAATTTGTATTAATGTCTTAGGAAAGCATTTTTTACCAAAAACCAAGATTGGCATTCTCTTTTTTAAAGCACCATGTAGAAGTATTTATTCCCTGATATTTTCTCATTATTTATGTATACATGTATAAAATACAAAAATATAACAATGATAAAAAAGTGAACTTCTGATTTATCAAACAAGTGTCCTACCGGATATACAGTAAAAAGAATGGAATTTTAATCCTAAATTTATCTTTCCTTGCCTCCTAAAATATCTTAGATAACATGATTAACAGGGTACGTATTATAGTAAAACAACCGTCGATGATTCAGAAAGATCAATAAAATTTTGGTCAAGTTTATTTGATGCAACCTTTCGCATTTTCTTACGTTATTGAATATAAATCGTGTTTACAAGTTGTCATATAACATTGAAGAGAACTTAAATCATCGTGTTCGTTGCATGCGGCTTTTTTTTTCTTTTCTTTTTTATTTCTTTATAGAATCTCAGCCATATTGATATAGTATTACCTTTGTACTATCAAATCATAAGATGGAGTTTATACAGGGAATGGAAAGTTATTTTTTAAAAGTTATAAGTTACAGTTACTCTCGTTACCGAGTAGAAAAAGTAACTAGTAATAGTTGCCGTTACTAGTTACCGATTTTTAAAAGTAACTCGTTACAATTACCGTTACTTGAAAAAGTAACTTTTTGTTACTATTTTTGTTTAAATATTAATAAAAGCAATATGCACTAAAATGACATTAGCTTTATTTTTTTAGTTCTTTCTTAAAAAATTATTTCATAATTTTGAAACATGTAAAATATGCAGCAAACTAAAATATCTATCGGATATATCATGTAGAAATATAAAATAATTTCAATCAAATCGTGTCTAGTCGCGTGTGCCAAGTAACGATAAAAGGAATTACAAAATTTATTATAAAAAAAAAAATGTAAGTTATCGTTACAGTTACCAAAAATAAAAAGTAACGCAGTTACCAGTAAAGTTATCCGAAAAGTAACTTGTAACTGTAATTTCGTTACATGTAACAAATTACTTCCATTCTTTGAGTTATATAATTTCATTTATGTGTAAGAATATACCAATTAATTTATCAATATTGAATAATTTTACATATTTTTTTTTATATGATCTCTCAATAGATGTGAAAAATAATTTGTGTTCTCTAATATAAAGCATAAAAGCATCATACATTAAGTTAGAGATCCGCTAAAATAGATTTAAAAAAACATGGAAAAAATGCATGAAAATATTTCAAGCTCTATAGAACTGTTTTGTGTAGTTTCAAGTAACATATGACTATATTTGCTAGTTTAAATTCTATAAATAAAAAATAGATTTTTGATTGATATCACAAACGAAAGACGAATAAATTCTTTAATTTGTCAGACAAGACAATATTAAACTTACATATATGTATGTATACATAATTATGTTTCATCAAGAATAGAGGTATCTTTTAAATATTAATTAAAACAAAGAAATTTTTGATCCCTACTTTCTCTCTCCACTTATAATAAATTTGCAAGATAACTGAAATTATAATCGCAATGTGTAAATGTGCATACCTTATCAAGTAAAACAGGTTCAAAAAGTGATTAAGAAAAATCTGACCGTTCATAATTTAAGTTAATTTTCAACAATTAAATTCCTTTAAAGCAAAAACTTGCATATTACAACAAATATGATCCTCCCATGCAGATATAAATTAATTGAATGTAAATTCCATCGCTTGTGTTCGCTGTTAAGTCGTTCCAATAGAAATTTTCAGCCGAACCTATGAGAGAAGTTAATTGGCTTCTATATATAAGCTATATTATAAATATATTCTATAAACAAATTCTTCCTTTACCTGATTTCACAAAAAATGCATGAAATATATAAAACGTCTATGTGAAAACAGTATATAAATTGCAATAATAATCATACAAAAGCCATTTCATCAATAAATTACTGACTCTCTGCGCATCACAAAAATTAGTAGCATTATCAGAATCATTTTTACAACGTATGTCTCTACATTGTGTCGTATATTTATAACATTATATTGAATATCGTAAATTGACGCTAATTAAAAAAAGAACATTTTAATTATATTTCATTCTTTTTTTTTAAGTGGACTTCTCTTATCAAAGGGAGGATACAGGCTACAAGACAATCTGCCAACTACACTTAGTACAAATCATATATGCATTAATAGTACCGATCAATTAATATATCTATATACAAACAAATAATAAGACCTAACAGGAGCAGGAGTCTTTTCCACCCTGCTGTTCATTAGATACTCCTTGGAGACTGGTGCGACCTGGTTGACTCGGATTATGTTGTACACCAGATTCTGCTGCATTTAGGTCCAACCTATACCGAAAAAAAGTGTATTTAAATTAACATTATTCAGGACATGAATTAGTTTACAATTTATATTTTACAACGTGTGATAGCTTTATTCAATGTAATACCTTTTTTATTCCATATAATCATAATTTACTATCAAACTCACCGTCCATCTTGTATACTTTGGAATATTTTCTTTGCAGTTTCCAAGAAGGCTTCTTCCACATTGTGTCCCCTGTTTGAGAAATTAGAATATACGAATCCATTTTCATACGTAATCATTTAAAGTTTTATTTAAATATTTTAAAATACTCACGTCTTTGCGCTAGCTTCAACAAACATTAAACCATGTTCATCAGCAAACTGCTTTGCTTCTTCGTAGGTAACATCACGTTGACCTTCCAGATCACTTTTGTTACCAATTAAGAATATGACCTGTACAATAATTAATTAATTTTTGTTATATGATTATAAAACATATTAAAAAATTAATTTTCTAATTCCATTAAACACTTATAATCATGTTGTGGCAATATAATAATATGCGTACAGTGCTCGGATTTGTTAAATTTCTTGTGTCCGTCAGCCAGCTACTGAGATGATTATAAGTTGAACGACGTGTAATATCGTACACCATTAATGCTCCAGCTGCACCGCGATAATATGATCTAAGAAGAAATATTTTATCTTTAGAACACATATTTATAATTTTACATGTCTGAAAAATAACTATCATTACCTAGTAACTGCTCTGAATCGTTCTTGTCCAGCAGTGTCCCATATTTGCAGTTTTATTTTCTGTCCTGCTACTTCTATAATCCTAGTCCCAAATTCAACGCCAATGGTATGTGGACAATCCGCCATGACTAAATTTACAAAATCATTTATATAAAAATATATGTATATTCTTTGTCTGGATCTCAATAGATGTTTTAAGTCTTAAATCGTAAGGAATTGCAGTCAAATACGAGGGGAATAATCGACTGTAATTCGTCTGTTTCTTGTGGCATAAGCTTAAAAATGCATTGTAGATCCAGGCTAAAATTTTTTTATATAAATATAAAATACAAGATATGTCAAGGAATAATTTACAATTTTATTTTATGGAATAAATTAAAAAAAAAAATTAATATTTAAAATAGAAAATAAAATTAAAAAAATATTAGATTGTGTATAATACAATATAATCACACAAACTGTGTGTATCCTTATTTAAAAACAAACTTATAAAAATTATACAAATCTACATATAAGTATGAAAATCATAACATCTGCAATTTATGATAGGTTATATTAAAAAAATTAAATACCAAATTCTCTAAAGAATTTTATATTTGTAATATTTATCATATTTAATTTTTTTTTCATTTAATAATTTTTCTTTGAAAGAGTACCTTTTATCATAGATATATTAACTAAGACAGTTAGTACACTGTTGCTACTATAAATGTTATCTATGTTATGCACAATGCTGTATACATACATATAACTACATACATACAGCATAATGTACTGTAGTCATACAATTATGTATGCACATAATTACAGCACATTCTTTCAGATTGTCATAACAAATAATGATAAATCATCAAACTAATTCAGCAAAACAATTTTTCCTTCTAATTTTATATACTATATATATATATGTGTGTTCAATAATTTCCTTTTTACTTACATTTTTTCCTAATTACTTACATTTTTTTTCTGTAAACTGATGAAGCAGACATGACTTGCCTACTCCCATATCTCCTATAATGATGTATTTAAAGATATAAGAATAATTATATGGACCAGTCGACATTTTGCACCTGTAATAAAGATTTCAAGGAAATAGTATTATATTTCTTACAGCTGTCTATTATTATTAATAATTTTGTAAGAGACAAAATTAAAACTCATAATCTATCAAAGTTCTTTTAGTAATGTTTACTTATAAACTTATTGTTAGATATCTGAGATGGATTATGTTAATCTCACATTTCACAAAATATCCTACAACCTTTTGTTTTTATTTTGTATGAGATAAGACTCATAAAAATATATTAACATCAGATAAGAATCTCTTAATGCATATAGTCAATAAATTTAAAACAGTTACTTGTAATATAATTAAAAAATTAATAAAATCTTTAAATTATTATTCTTGATTATTAAAAAAATGTAATATTATATACATTAATTTTTTTTAAATAAATTATACAATTTTGCTAACAAAAGAAATTACTATTACTACATGTTATTTAAGTTTTATTCGAAAAATCAATTTATTAATTTACTATTCCATATAAATGGATATAATGTTATATTTCTTTATCAATCAGAATTATCAATAATTTAAAGTTTTTAAAAATTAATTTTAGAATTATATTACGAACACATAACTTGTAATAAATTTATTATTATATCCCTTAAGAGATTCAACTCTCTTAAAAATATTATATAAAATTCTCTAAGTTAAAAAAACACAATGTGTCTGATGATATTTGTAATAAATGACACACAGAAACGTTTACAAATTTAAACATTAATAACTCATGAATAGCCTGGGATAAAATTTATCCTCGTCAGAATTGACATTTGCAAATCGGGCGATATTGGATTACTCGGTTCTCGAGACAGATTGGATTAAATTTGACGAGGAGACAAGAAACGTGCGTTCGTCAAAGGCAGAGCTTTCTTGAGCTGAACGTGGATGCGTCAAGGCAACAACGTCAACAATAAACCTGTACCGCCCACTCCCATAATTACGTTACGCCTAATTAGTACGATCTTTACGATGGTGAGGATATGCAAGAAATTCTATAAGAGTCTGACTTGATACAGTCGTGTTGCTTTGTTGAATATTGAATCACAAAACTGCACTGAACTGATGACAACTGGCGTTAGGAAGTAGTAGGAGTCTCCGATGTCAACAACGCGCGGAGGATTACTCACACGCTCGTGAAACGGCACCGTGTAGTGGAAGGGTACTTGTCGTGATCGTTGGACCGTGACCGAGGGGGTGTGAACAGGGAATGTGCGGATGACGGTTCGCAAACTCGTTGCTCTTTGAAGTTATTCTGTCATCGAGTCGTACGCAGTTGTACGACGACGCGGACAAACGTTCGCCTCGAAATATTACGCGCAATATGGCAGGCCGCGCTTGTCGCTAGCGACGATGGCGACGAGCGAAACGTCAAACCACCTGTCACTCGCTTCAAGTTTGTTCGTCCGTCCGACCCTCCATCAATCTGCTGCAGCGCTGCAATCTCATCGTTCGATTCAATCAGTCGATTAATCGATTCTCGACAATCGCGACTCGCGCCAACTTTGCTCGCTGCACGTCACTTTAAAGCGGGGAGCACAGACTTTTGCATAACGCATAAACCATATACATAAAGAATTTGATTGGTCCATTGACTCATACATAAGAAAATGGACCAATGAAATTCCTTATGCACATGCTTTATGCGTTATGCAAAAGTCTGTGCTCCCCGCTTAAGCCGTAATCACACTACGGGTTGCGCGCTCTGTTGCGATTGGGCGCGTTCAGTGGACGCAACAGTTAAGTGAGCGCTCGCTGTTATTGGTGTATTCTTTTGGATCATCCAATCAGAATTTTTGATCTAGAAGAATACACCAATAATAGTGAGCGTTCACTCAACTGTTGAATGCGCCCATTGAGGGTGCTTTCCACCTACGACACAAATTGTGACACAGAGTCACACAGTGTCAGGGTGCTCCTTGGAACACATATGTTTTGATAAAGTCCCAATAGATGGTTCTATAGTCAACTATAACAAAAAAAATCTTACTCCTTTCGTTATCCATAAAATGAGAATCTAACAAGTATTGTGTAATACAATCAATCTCAAGTAATGTAAAAACATTCAACAACAGTATTCACAATTTTACGAGCTATTTAGGGTTCCTTTTAAGTTTAACAGGATGCCACTACAAAACACGCTTTTATTTTGTCATGGTTGGTACTTCTAGCGACACAGCACTGTAAAACTCATCTATTCGCCGTGTCGAGCAGTGTGACACTGTGTCGTTGCTGAAATGCTCAAAACCGAACACTGTGTAACACAGTGTCACCTGTGTCGATAGGTGGAAAGCACCCTGAGATTATGATTGAATGTTGGAAACTAACCAATCAGAGCAGAGCAGTTCCTGGTAGGAATAGCTAAAACATGGCGGACCAATCACAAGTGATACCCGTATGGCGTCACTCTAATTATAGGCTCTCTACGAAAAACTAGAGTCCCTAGAAGATAGAGTCTGGCCACATATCGTGATTGTTTTCATTGGTCAATCCCAAAAGCCTCTCACAATGGCGTAACCAATCACACAATACAGAAATCGCGCGTATATATGTACCATATATAGATTACAATCTAGTTGAAAGTATGAAGGCTGAAACCTGAATTCTAAAGAGGGGAGCACAGACTTTTGCATAACGCATAAACCATATACATAAAGAATTTGATTGGTCCATTGACTCATGCATAAGAAAATGGACCAATGAAATTCCTTATGCACATGCTTTATGCGTTATGCAAAAGTCTGTGCTCCCCGTTTAAAGAAGAAGAAAAAGAAAATATGAAGGCTACGGATGCTTCGAAATATTTGCTAATCCAGACAGTACACAATATTTATAAAATATTTTAAGATGTATTTTTATTTTTGTGGTCCTAGATTGCAAAGATTATATTTATTATAAATATTATGGAATATTTATCGTACATATTGTAGTAAATAAATATTATAAAAATACTTAATAAGATATTATAATCTAAATAAAAAATATTTAGATACTAGAAAAATATTTTTTTTTTATTTATATTCATCATAAGTTAATCAAGTTATATAAAATGTTTAGTTTATTTTAATGCTTTCAAATAAATTAAGTTTATATAAAATATGTATAAAATATATATATATATATGTATATCACGGTGTTTTTAAAAAAATTTGAATAAAGCAGCCTTGCACCCCGAAACTAACGACGTGAAGTAACATCTGCTAACATATAAAAACAATCCCCGTTGAACAGAAAATCGAAAAAGATACATTTTTTTTAGATATGCCCATTTCTTGCTATTTTTTCTTTTTTTTCAATGCCCATGCCATATACAATTTGTAGTTAAAGTATATTTCACTTCGCACAATTTCAGATTATCTATGGATCTTGCATTCTCGCCAAAAATAGCATCTATCCATGCTTTCCGATATTGATCTTCCTTGAGGAAATCTGAATAATATATATCCATCACTGGATTTATTGAAACATTTCGCTGCACAACATATATATAGCATCTCCAAAATGTATAAAATCAAAACTTACAAGAGAATTATATTATTAATGAAATGGGTATCTCTAACTTTCGTATTACTCTCTCTTATTTTTAACTATGAAGCGTTTATTAATTCGAAGCTTATTCGTGGTATATGTACATTACCTTTCTCAAAATTTTACGTGATAAACGATTTATTTTTATTACAGTTAATTTTATGTGATAAATTAACTTACTAGTCAGTAAGCAACACAAGCTGACAGCAACACATGTGTCATCTGTCATGTACGCGTATTCTATTAGAATAGGTTATGGTACATGTTCATGGAACACAGATGTGCGATCCACCCCAGCCAATCAGAATCACCCATAGTCACGTGACGAGTCTCTCCTTTTAGGGTCTCTATCGTGGACACAAGGCTTAATCGCTATCGCTATTCCCTCGCATTGTGTTTAGGATTAGGGCCTCTTTCACCAACGCCGATTAAGTTAATCGACGATTAGTCCATTGGAATTGACCAATCGCGTCTGTCGTCAAAACTAAATGATAAATGCGATTGGTCAATTCCAATGGACTAATCGTCGATTAAGTTAATCGGCGTTGGTGAAAGAGGCCCTTCAGGGTCGACAGGAGTGATGGGCTTAGAGACCTAGAAAACAGAGATGCGTCATTGAAGGGTATGGCTTGATTGGCTGTCTAAATCACGTGATCAGAGAGCCATTTTAATTCACTATTGCATCTAATAGATATAGTTTTATAACGTATGTACATATATATATAGAGAAAAATTTAGACAATACAGTGCCGAAGTGCAATAAAAAACTATTATTATGGTGTAAGTATTCTTATTTGTGTAATTACGAATGTCCTAATTACGAATGTCACAATTAAAACGCGATCCATCCAATATTTTAGCCGTAATTTGGGAATAAAAATTCATCTTCAACTAGAGGTCTCCACGGGTCTCCCCTGTCTAGAGATAGAGACCCTATACCAGAGTCTGGACACGAGCGCGATTGTGGCAAAATGCTACGAGAGAGAAAAATATATATATACACTATCTTCGTCTATTAATTCTAACCTTAATGTAATGTATATATTTGTATATTTTCTTTCATTTAAGTTAACAGCGTAAAAAATATTAAATCATCGATGTCGATGTATTAAATATTAAAAATAATAACATTAAATAAATATTTATAGTAAAAATAGTAATATTGTAATAATGCAGCTGTCAAAGGATATGCAATGAAAAGATTTCCTAAAAATCCTGAACGATGAGTTATATGGGTAAAAAATGTTAACCGAGAAGATTGCGGGTACCGACAAACAATTCACTTTTTTGTGAAGTTAGTTAATATTCGTTAAAAAAATAAAAATGTTCTAAAAGTTTATGTATGTATACATTTCTATCCTATATGAATTTATAAGGTTATCGACGTTTGAATTAGAGCGGGAGTTGCCACTAACAACAGACCAATCAGAAATTGTCTCTCTCGTGTCCAGACTCTGGTATAGGGTCTCTACTCCTGTCGACCCTTAATGCTTTTCTTTTTCGTTCGTAATTTCAAGTAATGTTTCGTGTCTAGTTGTTCCTTGTGTTTATGAACAACACTTAATGGAGTATACTGTGGTATAGCTGAGTACTGCTGTACTGCGTAGTCAGCGTCAGTTATCGTAGTGTACACTTTCGTGTTCATTCCAATTTATTGTAAATCCAAACGCGTAAAATTGATTTTCATGTAAAATAGTACATATATTTAGATAGAAAACAGAAAGCAGGAAATTAGGATAATCGATATCAAGGCCGTGATAGACTTCGAATTATCGCTGAAAAGGCATATAAAGTTGTACAAGCCTCTTCGGAGTTCTCCGCCCTTTTTATCGCTCTTCGCATATCGGTAAGAGTCATATATCAATATATGTCGATATATACATCAATTATGAAAATTTGTACGACGCATGTGTCGAGTAAAATAAACTTTTTCGAGCCACTTATGATAGAATAGCATTCAGATTTATTAAATACTTTTTTCTTGTGAAATACTGATTCGTAATCCTTTCGATTTATCTCTCCTTGTTTACTTAATTGTTTATACGAAAAAGATGTAGTATATAATTATATATAAAAATAAGGAGAGCAACATAGCCTAATCCTATTTTTGTATATATCAAATGCCTTTTAAATATGTGACAAACTAAAAATGTCAAAATGTACGAAATTTTTTCTAATCTATACACAAATAAATAATTATCTCTATAATCAATTATATGTGTATCATGCAAAATTATAGAAAGATAGTCCATTTGTATATCAAAATTGTACCATTTTATATATTTCAATTTTTTTACTTTACCATGTATTTAGAGATCAAATTCCATATTTTTAATGAATTCAAAAAATCATTTAACAATTATAAAATTAGAATCAAATTAACTATACAGGTCAGTCTTTTACATAGAGCTCTTCTTACTTTCGTAATAAGTTTTAGTAAACATTGATAAAATAGAAGTTGAACGAACTGCATTATGGTCATAATACATTCTAGTATGTTTTAGTATAGTACATACATTCTGTTATAGGCCTTGTTCCTTATTCCTGTACTACCTGAACTGGTATATATGGTACAATAAATTGAAGTGAAACAAATATTTATTTTTTTTGCTTCAACTTATATCATGTATACTAATTCAGGTAATAATACATGAATAAAGAACAGACTTATAATCTATAGTCTATGAACTCCATCAATGTTTTGAAATATAGTATTAGTCAATTATATTCTAGAAATATCTGGATATTTTTCATTCTTATTGATCAAAATCTATCTGATGTGAGTATAGCCTTTAGTATATTCAGTTTATTATTTTTTAAATTGTTTTAAACATTTTAGTTTTGTGTAACATTGATTGATAAGTATGATTGGTCTGATTTTGCAATAAGATATATAACATGATTTTGCAATAACTATATAGTTGTTTGAATGATGTGACAATCTATCTAAGCTCTCTGGACCCTGTCTAATATTTACAACATTCAATTTATTAGTTACATTGATAAGATAAAATTTTGGTAGGTGTGTTCCAAAGTACCAAGTACACCAATTAACACACAGGAATAATTCTCATATCATAATATCAGATTAGCTGTAAAGAGGTTTAACACTATTTATCTCTAAATATGTGCTACATATTTAGAGATAAATAGTGTTATATCCAAAGGATATCATCTATTACAGATTGTTTTAGCTGACTATTACAGATGCCATACATTCTAGTACGTGGCAACTTAGCGTCGTACAGTCATAAATATCCCTGGAGGGTTTTAGTGTCAGGTCTTAAAGGTACGAAGACTCCTGTATATTTGCTCTTACGCAAATATGTATGCTTATACTTTTTGCTTTTTTAAACTTTTCAACTAGATAAAATGCGCCATGATTTGTAAGTCATTTTGAAAATTCTATCTAATGTTTCTTTTGTAATCTTTCTACACATGTATAATAAAAATAGCATTACAAGATAGTGAAATAACATATAGGTACTTCGAGTAAATTGACACAGCTTTCAAGATTAGAGGGGACAATGTAGCTAGAAATATTGCAGGTGTAATAAATCAACAATTTTTTAGGTGCAAGTAATATTCAATTATGTTATAGCGGCTGACATAGAGCAGTTGAGTCGGTTCTCCTCTATAGGATATTGCGACGACTCGACGATAGTATATTTGCAACATCCTTGCATAATATTGACTGCTTTAGAGGTACTCGGTTACAAAGTCGTCGCATCATCCAGTACTAGCATTAAGCAGGATTATAATGAGTACATGTGGACTATGAGAAAAGAATTCTCAGAACCTGAACCTGATACTGTTGTAAAAAAAGCTGGTATGGCTCGAAATATACTGCTGCTTTAAGAGCACCTAACATTGCATAGTGTGATATTCATTAGGCACAACCATTCTAATGCTTCTAAGATAAAGCTCACCTACTTCATTATCTAATCTGATTTAATAATCTTAACTCTCGCAATGTAAACAAGTTGTTCATAGCATGTGCATACATTAATATTAATTCAGGGACAGCATGTTGCACTGAAATTAGCAGCATGCACGCATTGAATCATTATTGGTACTTTTGGAATGGATAACTACTATTAATTCCTCTGGAAAATAAATACAATAAAGAAGTTTAATAACAAAATTAATTAAATACTAAACTACATAGATACTATGTAAGAGAATTGATTGATATGAGTATGTTAATACAGAAAATGACAATACATTTGGCGAGTTTAATAAAAATAACATCATATTGACATTCACAGATATTCTTGTCGCTGCGAAGAATTAAATAAAAAATAGAGAAAGAAACATGACTATCTTGAAGTTTCATTGAAATTTAAATAAACAAGCTTATGAAATGTCACTCTCTGTTAAAGACCGAAACAACGTTTAAGAGATTCCTGAGAGAAACGAAACTTCTAACACCAAACTGACGAGAAATTTGTTTTTAACATAAATATCAATCAATATCAATAATTAAAGATATCAGTAATTGTATTTTCGCATAATCTTTATATCGATATTTATAAGAGGCAATAATTAACTTTTATTTTTAGCATTTTGCATATTGTACTATATTCGAATACGTAAATTTTAGGCAGTATAATTCGCTAACTTTAATTCAAAGAACTATTATAGCTTTGACATTTTAGTATTTGAATTTTCGTCTTAAAATAACTTAGGAATCTCGCCCCTTGAACGTTGTTCTGATCTTTATGGAATACCTTGTATATATAAATATATATATATACATATATATGCATATATTCAATATACAGAGTGTCCAAAAATATGAGGGTAATCTTACTGCGGTATGAAAAATTAAGTAATAAAAGTAGATGCCATTTTTTCCTATAAAGTAGATTTTTAAGTAAAAACCATATAAACATTTAAAGTTTGACTAATCATAAGCGTTGGTTAAAAAGTTATCTATCCGTGCATTGGTATTAGATACCAAACAAAACATTGCTGCTGCAGCATGCACGCTGTCACATGAACAGATAGCTTTTTAACTAACGCTTATTGTTAGTCAAACTTTAAAGTTAATACATACTTAACCCTTAGCAGCACGGTGGTCAGTAGTATTGATCACATATTGTTTCGTACATTTTCGAATGTACACGAGTTATTTTTTTATAAAAAATGATAAATCTTTTTAATCCATGGTACCAAGACCTTGGATAAACAAAAGAAATGACCTAATGTATATAATTTTAGCAATAAGGCATTGTTATAAACAAAGGAACGCAAAAAAACACCACATATAACAAAAAAAAAATCATTATTAGCTCATGTATTTCAAATAATAAAATGTTACTTTGAGGTATAAGGATTTTTTGGGTTGCTGATTACGAATCTGAAGTCCGTTTTCAGAAATTCAAAAAGGCGGATCCAATATGGCCGACGATTTTCTAAAAATTGCACAATTTTGCTTGAAATTTGTTACTCGGGGGTTTTTGGGATCGCTGATTACGAATCTGAAGTCCGTTTTCAGAAATGCAGAATGGCGGATCAAATATGGCGGACGATTTTTATAAAAATGTCTGGATTTTTCGTGAAATATCATACTTGCGGTTTTTTGGGGCCGCTGATTACGAATCGGTAATCTGTTTTCTGAAAGTTTCTTTCCATAAATATTTATTTTTATTTTATTTTATTTTTTTTTGTTATAATGTCGATTATGCGTAAGATAAAGACTAAGATGAAAAAATAGGCAATTTTTTGAAAAATCGTCCACCATATTGGATCCGCCATTTTGCATTTCTGAAAACGGACTTCAGATTCGTAATCAGCATCCCCAAAAACCTCCGAGTAACACATTTCAAGAAAATTGTGCAATTTTTAGAAAATCGTCGGCCATATTGGATCCGCCATTTTGAATTTCTCAAAATGGAATTCAGATTCGTAATGAGCGACTTCAAAAACCCCCGAGTAATACATTTCAAGCGAAATTGTGCAATTTTTAGAAAATCGTCGGCCATATTGGATCCGCCATTTTGAATTTCTGAAAATGGAATTCAGATTCATAATCAGCGATCCCAAAAACCTCCGAGTAACAAATTTCAGGCGTTTTCCGTGTAAAGAAAAATGTATGCTTCAAAGGGTTAAAAAATTACTTTTTACGGAAAAAAATAGTTTGCACTTTTATTACTTAATTTTTTTACGAAGTTTTATGTTGCAGTAAGCCTAGAATTTCTGGACACCTTGTACACACGCACACACAGCACTTAGAGCGCACACAGCGTTCACAGCGCACACGATATATACGCACGCGCGTATATAAGGAGATCTTTACGTATACTATATGTGAATGCCAGATGTATTACTCAGAGGTGTTTGAATTAGGCTAATATTTTATTATATATAAGTCACGAAGATAAGTTGACTGTTAGATGCGTATGACTGCCCACACATTTTTAAAAGTAGAAGTATTGGGAAAGCAAAATGAAAGAAATCCCATTTTATATATTCAGCAGAGGCTATCCAATATATTATCTCCTTTGTGTCTAAAATTTCAAAGTTATTTAAAATCTCATGAATATCCTCGTTTATTGAATGTCACATGGACAGATAACAACCGAACAACTAAATTTGACAAACCCATATGATTTAACCAGACAAGTGAAGTGGGTGCATGAAATATAGTGCATTTTAAAAAAAGAGCATGAGAAACAATTAATTGAATGGAATAAAGAAAGAATGATAATTTTTTACAATACTTTGCAATACTTTGCATAATGGGTGCCTTCCGTGACACAGATGACACGGTGTGACACAATGTATCAGTATCTTTGTTTGCCAATGTTAAACAAGGATGAGATGATCACTGTGTTGTACTGTGTCGCTTGTTGAAAGACACACAATATAATTAAGTAAAAGCTACAATTTCTTCTTTTTATTTTTTCCCGGACTCTAATTTTCTAATCCTAGTAAACGCAATATTTTCTCTGGGACTATTTTTGCACTAGATTTCGTATTTACTAGATTACGCGCATCTTTTATTTTGCGTTTGTTTTTTTACCCTATATTAATTGCGCGCATATGTCCACTTTTATGTACATGAATATGAAAAAAAAACCGAATATGTAAGCGGGATATGAAAGAGGAATATAAAAAAGGAAAGATTACAGAATCTGTATGATTATATATTCTTGGAAGAAAATATTATATTGATGAAGAACGAAAACATTTTCTTGGGTAGAATAATTGATATCATATGTTTTACATTATATTTATTAAATGCTACATATGCATATCACGATAGATGATTATCATTTTCTTCAAAAGCTCTGTTACATTTTGCACATGTACTTATGTAACAACTTGTTTTCTGCACCATAGCAATTAATAACATTAAAATATATATTGCAGCTTAAGCAATTCATATATGTAGGCTGCTGGAGAAGTTTCTGCAAACGATATGAAAAAAAACATGCAAATGACTTTACTTTTACCGAATTTTACATGTTTTTTTTTTTTCATATCGTTTGCAGAAACTTTTCCAGCAGCCTACGTATGTTCCAATGCACATAAAGTTCTGAATTAACTTTACAAATGGAATTTTTTACATCATATAATGCGTGATAAATGTTCAATGGACTTCTATTTTTAATGTATAAAATGAGAATTATATGATGTGACAAAAAAACATGAAAAACGTTTATATTTTTAACAGAATAAATAATTTAAATTTAATAACTTTAAAACAATATTTAAATATATGTATACTTAAAGGTAGTCTTTTATGTATGATACGTATGTATGTGTGCGATACGTTTATTATTAACCGCACACATTTAGACCAAATATACATATTTTTATTTTAGAATTTTCAGATTATTTGCAAAATATATATTTAATATCATCTGATATTGCAGAAAACTTTAGCAATATTTTTTAACTCAGAATTTTATGCATTATTGGAAAATATGTGAATTGGTGTAGAAAATTCTTAGCATTATTATTTGCATATACATATGTATATTTATAAGTGTTAATGTTATTCTTTCAATAGAAAATATTTATTTAGAAATTATCTGCAATATTTGAAGCAATATACTCATAGAGATACTTAACAAGAGAAGTCAATAGGAAAAAATTGTGATTATGATTTGTTATCAAGTCTTCATTTCATTTAAAGTACTTATTACTCTGATAAAATTTGAGTAACTATTTTGTGCTATCTTTCGTTATCATTTCTTCCAATATTTCCAATCCTCCTAATTGTTTGTTTTCTATTGAAGATATGAAATATCACGTTATCCTATCAGCTTCACGTTTCATTCGATCGGAATGTGCTATTTATCGTGAAAGTGACTTTATGAATCACATTTTAATATCTTCTTAGGACAGATATTTCGTTTCTTGTATAAGACAATTATGTCTATTAAGCTGATAGAGCCACTTTAGCACAATCGAATGAAACCTACACAGAAATTTAGTGTTTTTTTGTTGCTAATTTGTTGCTCAACTCTTGATTTTGTTACTCCAGTTAATTCCAAGAAAATAATGAAAATACTAACTTAAGAATAAAGTTAGCACAGCCATTAAAAAATATAAAAAAAAATTTTAAAAATCATACATATTTTTAGTGCTAATTTGTTTCTAATTTGTTGTTCATTGTGTTGCTCTACCCCCCACTGTCGAAAACCCTTTTAGTCACTCCGTGCAAGCACAATACGTCCAAACTGAAAATTATTGAGATATCTCGATTGATTACGATCCTCTGATTTCGTTGCTTCACATATGATATTAGAATGGCGAAATTCACACTATAAATATTTTAATTTAGGAAAAATCGAATTTATAAATTTTTTGCAGTGATGAATAAAAATTATACTGTTGACAAAAAATGGTTTATTGTTTCATATCGTACGAATTATACAACTTAGAAAAAATCGACAAACTTTAAGATCGTCATATCTTGCACCATTTTCTACCTCTAATCAAAGACAAGGAATCAATCGAGATATCTCAATTTTGGACGTATTGTGCTGGCGCGGGGTGACTAGGGGTGGTTTTCAAGGGTCTGGGGTGGAGCAACAAAATCGAGAACTGAGCAACAAATTAGCAGCAAAAATATGTATGATTTTTTGATTAAAAAAAATTTTTTTTAATGGCTATGCTAATTTTATTCTTAAGTTAGCACAGCCATTGTTTTCTTGGAATTGGCTGGAGCGACAAAAAAGAAGTTGAGCAACAAATTAGCAACAAAAAAACACTAAATTTCTGTATAGGATTCAATCGATTGTACTAAAGTGGCTGTGTCAGCTTAATAGACGTAAGATAACTAGCTCTTAAAATTGTATTCTCCCTAATTGTAAGATGTTAGAAAACCAATTTAGAATTTTTCTATTATCTAGGAAATACTTTAATTTTTTTACTTATGGTACACAGTATTCATAGTCGATTCTTATTTCAAGACACAATGTCGTAGGACGCTAATGCGGCCCTTTGATTGGCTTGTGACAAGCCAGAACTAAGATGGTTTTTAATATAAGAACTGACTATGAATACTGGTCTATATGAACTTTATTTATTTTGTTTTATTTATTTCTTTATTGATGAATACGAATTCTGAAGCTGTGTATAGATATTATATTTTTAAAGTAACTTGAAAATCAGTCGCATTTTTATATCAGATTTAACGGAAACTCAGAGAAAAGCTTTCGTTATTCTGGTTGATCATTGCGATAACTGTATTTGAAGGGAGAAAATATTACGCGGACAGAAGTCTTAATAAAAGCATCTTGTGATCGCGCAGATGTTTTCTGAATTTTCTATTAAATCGAATAAAGAAGCTCGAAGGGGTGATTCTTGCATCACTTTCGAGATAAACGGCTCCGATCGTCACTCACGTGCGTCACGTTTGCTTTTCTTCTAGAAGTAAAGCACAACGAGGTATAACAATACTTTTAGCGCGACAATGGCAACGACAACCGATTCCAAAAAGCAAGACACCACCCCCGTCGACGAGGACGACGACATTTTCTATTACGTCGGTGTAAAAGCATCACCGTTCGCGGCCGATAGCGCGGTTTTCGGTTTGCCACCGAAGGAGGTATCGGCCTTACGCTGTCGCTTTCCGCTGTCCCCCTGTAGCACGAATGTCGTGAACGGAATTATGCTTAAAGGTTAATGACTTAGAATTTTGACGAGATCAAGAATTGCACGGACCATTCTCTAAAGTCCCGAAAAAAAATTCAAGGTTTCTCGCCTACGATGCAATTTTTATTTGCGCGCAAACGTTAACTCTGCAAATACATGCATACTTGTTCATCAGAGATAGCAGTACTTACTCAAGAAGAATATGAAATTTCTGTTAATTATATAGTATTACCGGCTAAAAAAATAGCAAATGCATGAAATTTGAATGATTTGTACAATTATCCGCGATTTTTTAAATTATGATCTTGTAAGAATACATGAAGTAAAAACGCATTAGATATATAATTGTATGAAGTTATTAAAGAAAGTCCTTAATTTTAGGTTTTTGATACAGTAATCGACTAATCGATATACACAGTAATCATGTCAATAATTTATAAAAGAAGAAACAATTCACAATCAATTGTGAAAAATTCTCTAACAAAAAATTTAAGCAAAATTGCAAACGATTTCAAACTAGTTGCTAATTGAAATTAAGTTACATAAGGTTAATACAGCTAACAATGTCAGCAGAAAAAGCAGCTTTCCAAGTATTGTAAGATTTTTTTTATCACGCGTACGCGTGACAAAAAATATTATGAGTAACTAGTGGGGGTATATTGTTTATAGCGCGGAACGGGCGCGAATACGCACTCGCTTCGTTCGTGCTTTCGCGCCCTTCGCGCCATAACACTAGCCCCCACGCGTTAAGGCCTCCCTACACGGTCAATAATACTGAGTCAGTATTACTGATCAGTATTACTGACAGTATACATTAGTTTTTATAATCTTATACGATCAGGTAATATTGATAATATTTCACTTCAGTTTGACGTGATTTGACGTATATTATTATCTATGGCGACATGGATCTTAAGGAAAAAGCATGTATTTAAATCCAAATCATCGTCAGTATTCTACGTCAATCCATTAATATTAACCACACACAATCAATAATATTTTCAGTATTCGTTGATACTGACAGTATTACTGACCGTGTACAGAGGCCTTTACACAATGTACTATTAATGCTGCGTTCGGAAATATCACTCGAGTACCCCCGTCTTATCCTTGTTATTCATTCAATGTTAAACAAGGATAAGACGATACACGGGGGTACTCGAGTGATATTTCCGAACGCAGCATAGTACGATTGATTCTTATCTATTATTCTCATTGATTGTAAATATATAAAACAGTCATTTTAAAGAATGTTACAATAATTGCAAAGCTGTTTTTTTTTTGCTGATCGTAGCCATTATTTTATGCTGGTTAACGGCTCCTTTGAGCAGAAAAAAACTAATCAGTTTAGCATTTAGTGATCTTTTAATAATATGATTGGCTCTTACACTTAGATTCAGCGAAGAACTAAATATAAGAACCAACCATTAAAGAATCACTAAGTGCTAATTGATTAATTTTCTCTGCTGAATGCAGTCAACGTAAAAATAATAAGTTAAAACAGATTATGTTGCGATTGTTGTGTATGTTTAATTTTATTTTTATTTTGTCAGTTCAAGAAAGCATGCAATTAAAGAGTTAACGTTTTCATATAAATTAACAGTATTAACAGTAATGCAATGTAACTTGTTAATAAAAAATACAATACCTATGATTGAAATATACATTTAATAAACATTACATTCGATTTGACGATATTTGTGGAAAAATTCTTTTAAACACGCGTTTAAATAGATTTGTGATACTTGTATCATTGGGATTCTTGGATCGTTTTCGGGGCTAATCTTTTGTCATAGCTACAAGTGTTACTAATATTATCATAAGATACTATGTTGTTAAAATAAATATAATAATTTATAAAAATTTTGGATAAATCAGCCGTGGATCTAAATAGTAATAATGTTAGTTCCTTCTTAGGACATTCTTTAGGAATTTACGTTGTAAAATTGATTTCAGGCACACCATTCTCCATCATAAATGCTCTAGCTGAGCTCGGCTATCGAGTTATTTGTAGTACCGGAGAAGCCGAGGTACTTTGGACACTGCAGCGGGATTGTTAACGCTTTAAAAATGGACCTTACTGCAAGCGCATCATATATATGTATCTTTATGAATCAAACTATAGAAATTAGTATTAATGAATCGATGAGATTTATGTCGTCACTTGTTTGACTTATGTCACTTTGTTTTTCTCCGTATCTATTTTTATATTTTGGAATATGATAAGTGTTTGCGGAAATTACGTTTGTAACTGCGCCTCGGGGAAAGTTGAGTTAGATATATACATATGTGCGGACCAATTAAAAAGGCTTTGTTTTTTTGAGGATGATCAATTGTACTTTGTAAAATTGGATATTGATATGTACTGAAGTGCAGCTTTTCGTTAGAATAATCAAAAAATAAACATATGCCATATTTTCTTAGGAAATTTTAATTTTTGTTGTGCGAAATCACACGAATCAATTCTCATCGATGTGTATATTGTGTACCGTGGTAATGATGAGTTCCTCCTTTTATGACTTTGAAAATGACGCTGTAAAATTGTATAATCATGATAAGATGGGGGGGGGGGAGGGGGAGTGTGGTCCCGGAGATTGTGAACCACGTAAACACTTCTGAAACGTGCAAAATAATTACGTTGCGGATAATAATAACCAACGGTTGCGGAAATTTCGTTAGACCAAAGGAGCATGTATTGATTGCATCATATTCGTTATATGTAATACTAAGGTATTAATTATATATTGATTTGTGATATTTTTACCTCGTTGCGTGGAAAATGGGTTTTTTAATGTTTTATCGAGGGTCTGTGACGTGATTCTCATAGCATCCAGATTGGGTTAAATTGGTGCAACGTTTAGATTGCATAAAGTTGGCCCATATTGGCTTTAAACTGTTTTAATATTTATAATTGTGAAGAATGATATTATAGTGCAAATACTATTTACACATACACACATTTCATCTTTATATAGCGTACTATTACCTAAATGGCGTCTGTAATGTCTTTTCCCACCATGTGCTTTAATAGAAGATTTAACAATAATAATAATATAATAAATATTATATTATAATAACACAATTAATTATAATTATAATATAATAATTATTTTTATTATAATTATATTATATGATAATAATATTTTAACAATAATTATTTATTGTTACACGCGAGATATTGTTCCTCCGGATCGATCGTGGTCCAGAGAGTTTAAGGATGTAAAACTGTTTAGAAGAAAAGTTGATGACGTTTTGTTACTCTTATTGCAAATATAAATGTCGAGATCCAAAGATTTTATTGCAGATTATAAACGCCAATCTAAAAGATTATTGCAATCGATGTTTCCTGTTCTCGTTAAGAATGGAATGATCTATTGAATGAAATTATATTAAAAGCAATCTCGTTAACTCATAGTGTGACAATTATATATTAGTTTATTCATAAGTAAGAAAATCAAAAGTTATAGAAGGTGACGGGAACGAAAGTATTTAGCATAATAGTCTGAATAGTTGGTACAAGCAGTGTTTGCGCTAAGCTACTCGTGATGTTTATATATATATTATAGCTAATAATCTCTTTCATATGTGAAGCTGATTTTGTATGAACGGCAGTTATACACAGGCTTATACTCAACGTATAATTGAATGTTGTACGTGCTTGTTTGTGTTGCAAATTATGAGAAATAAATAAATATCGAAGTCTGTACTCGTATATATCGTACGATTTATACATTCCGAAACATCTTACCTCCGAAATCGAAGCGATATTTTTCTCTTCAGATATATTTCGGTTAATCAAATTTAATATAGGATTTTTAACAGTTATTTGCAGATAGAATGAACAATGGAGCACTCTTGTGACCACAAAATGTGTTGCGAAGGAGCTTCGCGGTACAATGTCTGTCAGAATATAGACGAACTTTATTTCGAACGCGGGCTTTGGACAGCAGGTAAATGAAAGTGATACAGACGTTGCTAATACAGACATTTATTTGGAATAAGATGGACTGTAAATGATGAAGCATTATATATGAAACAACAAGATTTCAAATAAACTGGATGATCATACTAGTGTTGACGATTTAGCTTGAATCTCCGGGTATCCGGATATTCGAGGCAGAGATAGATCCGAGATAAAATATCCAATTGAAACGGATATCCGGATCTTTCAGATCTGAATCTCGAATTTTTTGAATTATAGCAAGAAAATGCAGAGAGAGAGAGAGAGAGAGAGAGAGAGAG